AGTGCTGTTTAGGGAACATCGTCCTTCTGCGCCGCTCAACATCCCCTTAGATAATGATACACCATGGCCCCCAACATCTGAAACTGAAATCACTTCGCTAATTCTACAAATGAAATCTGGCAAAGCCCCAGGAAGTGATTTCATTGTCGCTGAACTTCTGAAAGCGCAAATAAACTGGTGGGCCCCGGTCCTTGCTAATCTATTTTCATATATAGATAAGACAACTGAAATCCCTAAAGATTGGGGACTAGCTATAATTGTTCCCATATTTAAAAAGGGCAACCCCTCTGATCCATCTAATTATAGACCAATTAGTCTCCTGAATGTGATCTGTAAACTTTATACAAAACATCTATGCCTAAAATTATGGGAATGGTTAGATCACAATAACTTGCTAGAAATTGAACAAGCAGGGTTTACATCCGGACGTTCCACCATTGATCACTGCTTAGTGTTAGATTACTTTGTCTATAAGTATGCGAAATATTGGAAAAAGTCATTATATGCGGCCTTTGTGGACCTAAAGGCAGCATTTGATTCTGTATCCAGGAGCAGGCTCTGGGCCAAATTGGCCAATATGGGTATTAACAGAAGGTTATTACTTCTGATGATTAAGCTTCATGAGAACAATACCCTCCAGATAAGACTTGCACAGGACGGCAGACTCTCTAGAGAAATCCTAGTCCAAAGAGGAGTTAGACAAGGATGCCTATTAGCCCCATTCCTATTTAACATCTATGTTAACTCCCTGGTCACATGCTGCCGTGAAATTGAAACCCACCCCCCTGTGTTCTCTAATGGCAGAAAAGTACCAATTTTAATGTATGCGGATGACGCTGTTCTTCTCTCTCAAACCAAAGTGGGTCTGAAACGTGCCTTAGGAAAGTTTAGTGACCAATGTAACACTGAACTGTTAACAATTAACTTTGCCAAAACCAAAATTGTACATTTTAACCGCTCCTTTAGGAAGGATAATTGGAGCGTAAAGGGAAACGCCATTGAACAGACTAAGACCTTCCAATACTTAGGCATTACTTTCTCTTATAATGCCAAATTCTCAACACACTTGACCACATCAGCTATATCAGCAGAAAGAAGTGCAAATGCTATCCTTAGATTATTCAGAAGGAAAGGAGCTGGCTTCCTCCCGATGGCCCTAACAGTCTTTCAGGCAAAATCTTTAGCCCAACTTCTATATGGCTCTCAAATTAGCCCCTCTGCCAACCTTAAGACCCTTGAAACAGTACAATCTAAATTCTTAAGATCATTATTTGCTACTCCTAAGTGTACACCTAATGCAGTCTTAAGGCAAGAGGCAGGACTGCCCAGAGTGGAATTAAAAGTCTGGGAACAAGCAATATCCCTCTGGCTGAAAATCCATTACAATCCTAAGGGTCTATTACCTTGCTTCCTGGCCGCAGTTCCCTATCCTCCTTGGCTTATGCAAATAACTAACAAGATCAAACAAATTGGCCTAAACCCTGAAAATATTTTTATTGGAACTCTGAACAAGGCAAAAGCTACTATCACTCGGAGACTTTATGATATCGAATTACAACAAGAAGGCGCCCTACTCCCAGAGACGTATAGATGTTTAAAAGCTTGGCCTAATTTTGTAGCTGCCCCTTACTTAACTAACATCACTAACGAAACCTATAGATGGGCTTTCTCTAGAGCCCGCTTTGAGACAATGCCCTCAGCAGTGCTGTACGGCAAATTCACGCGAGTTCCAATGCATGCGCGTCTCTGCCCTTGTATGTCTAATAAGGTAGAATCTGTCACACACATTCTTCTATCTTGCGAATTCTATAGTGAAGAACGAGTTCAACTTATTTTACCGCTTCTATCAAAATTTATACCCCTTCAATATTATTTGGAATCCTCCCCTGAAATTCTTCGAAAACACCTCCTGGAAGATTCCTCAAGCTCAGTATCATATGAGGTGGCTAAATTTTGCACTTTAGTAATTAAGAAGCGTAAATCTCTTCTGTTGAATGGCACACTGTGAAGTTCTCTTGTGTAACCTTTTTCTTTTCTGAAGTTGTTGCTGATTTCTTGTTGTCTGATCTTGTGGTGTTTAGTGTCACTGGCTTTGG